ATAACTGAAATTCTGTAAGTGTCCATAAGGATGAAGTGTACAAGCTTGTACAGTATGGACATAAAAATGCTGGATGTATAATGGATCTAAATGGAAATGTGACATTGTTATTTGTTTAGGTAAGATCTGTCCACCTCCTCCGTATCTTCAACATGGAGACTACAGCATCAACAGTACAAAAGATGAAGTGATCACAGCAGTATCTTACACTTGCCAGTCTTACTATGTAATTACCAAGCAACAGGATGTTTATAAGTGTGTGGATGGGAAATGGGAGACTCCTCCGAAATGCCTGAGTGAGTCATTTTTGTCATTTTAATTTGTAATTGTTTTGTACTGTTTTTAATGTTATGTTTATGTTTGTCTCTGTCGTAGGACCTTGTGAAATTGATGATATTGTCGAGATGTACAATCTACAGCTTCCTACAGAAAAGGTCTACATAAGGCATGCTGAAAAGTATACACTTAGCTGTAGAGATGGATGGAATACTGGAAGTGAGCTGAAACCGTATGTGGATGTGTCATGCTCCAATGGGAATCTACAGATTGACAAAAGTTGTGAGTATTATTTCGTTTTCAGAACCTGAATTAGTCATATTGGTGATCTATACAATTATTGATTTATTATTTATTTGGTTGTTTTTTTAGGTAACTAGGTATAAACTGGAGTGGTGATTGAGGTACCCCATTCAGTAAAAATGACAAATTAATTTTTATACAAAAGAGGACATCCCTAAAAGAAGGTCTCGAGAGATTCTGTCAGGTTTAGCTCACTTCTGGTACAAATTTGCCCCATAATATAGCTAAGTATGTACACACACAAACTTGTACATATATCCCATTCAGCTACAAATGTAAAAATAATTTTTTTATATGTATTATCTCGCAGAAAATGGATTTCTTTGTATTTCTTATCTATGTCAACGTTCCTTCAAAAACCTTTTTCTTTTTTTTTTATTAAAAAAATTTAATAATTAGGCTGACTTTGGTGTGGAATTTAGTTCAACATATTGCTCACATTTATTTTATTAAAGCAAAACATATTTTGCTCACAATTTTGAACCAAAGTGACATACTCATGACCGTCTTCTGTGGAATACCATCTATCCATTCATCGCCATAACTGTTTATCCTCTGTAAGGTTCTGGGTTGCTTTGTGTGAAAAACAGAATGACATTTAAGTAGTTTTTCCTTTAAAATATTGTTTTCCCCCATTTTAAATCTGGCACACAAGAGAGAATGTCTGTTCATTTGCATTAAAGCGCCATCAATGAACGCACTCAACACCTCTTCTGTTAGAGGTGTTCAAATCTAACACCTTGACAGAAGATGAGAGAGCCAATGAGGTCTGTGTACAGTTTTTTCTCCTCCTTATTGAGTGTGTTCACTTCAAATGACTTGAAATAACGCACACACATCATTTGGACTATTATGTGACATTGGGAGCTTAAAGGAATAGTTAACACAAAAATAAAAATGTACTCACTCTTAGGCCATCCAAGATGTAGATGAGTTTGTTTCTTCATCAGAACCGATTTGGAGAAATTTAGCATAACATGACTTGCTCACCAACGGATCATCTGCAGTGAATGGGCGCCGTCAGAATGAGAGTCCAAACAGTTGATAAAAACGTCACAATAATCCACAAGTAATCCACATGACTCCAGTCCATCAGTTAACATCTTGTGAAGTGAAAAGCTACATGTTTGTAAGAAACAAAACCATCATTAAGATATTTTTAAACTTCAAACTACTGCTTCCACCTAAATATGAGTCCTCTATTCATAATATTGCTTTCTCCTGTGAAAAAGTTGTCTCATCTGAATCAGAAGAGAAATTAACACCACACTAGTTTCACGTCTCTCCTATCACACCACAGACTGGATCTCTTGTAAATGTTACTCTTGCACCTCAGTTATCAAGTTCAGTGAAAATGTTTTCAGAGGACTCGAGTAAATATACCGTTGTAATATTATTGCCGTTTTTTATGTGTTGGTAGGCCATTTTTTGTACAATGTAATAGAATATATATGCTGTGAGATGACAAACTATCAATATTTTGATATTTTAACTAATCAATATTTTATGTCCACATATTTATTTGGCAAGTGGCCATGCAATAAGAGGAATAATATACAGTGAATCAGTCATTTTCACAAAATTAACTAACAGTAAATGATTGATCACCCTGTAATTATTATTATTATTATTATTACAACACTGAAAGTTTAGCCTAATGAAACTCACAGTACAATGTAGGTGTAACACGTATATTCTGTTCTGGTTTAGTTTCTCTGTGTTCCCGTGTGCCTGAGTTTCCTAGTTTGTTTCCATGGTTTCTGATTAATTAGCTCCTCACCTGTTTCTGTTCTTACTGATTACTCCATGCGTTTACTGTAAGCCCTTAGTTTTTCATTAGTTCTTTTATATTATTTTATGTATTCTATTATATTTGTTTCTTTGTGGTTTGCTAACTCCTGTGATTTCCAGTGCTTTCCTTGTGGATTATTATTAGGGAACTCTTGGTTTTGAATTCTACTCTTTTGTCGTGGGCTTTATACAGCAACAAGTAACAGTAGGCCTACTCACAAAATGTCCCCCCCCCCCTAATTTATCAGAAAAAAAGATAAAGCTGGAACAAAGTGTATACTTTATAATATAATATAATAATCATACTATATGACACCCATTTAAATATATCCCGTGATGATTTATAATATCTAATTTATAAATGCATTTACAAAAGCTTTGCTCATGCACAATCACAATAGGGAGAATGTATTAGAAATGCTGACTTCTGTTTAACCAATAGAATTGTAAATTTACAGAGTGCAGTGAATTACTTGAAATCATTACACCATACAAAAAGGATTGAAATGATTAAAGCTTATTCTTTCACAATGGCCTCTGATGTGTAATTGTCTCACTTTTTTCACCTCTCATGAGTTTATATATATATATACAGTGGGTACGGAAAGTATTCAGACCCCCTTAAATGTTTCACTCTTTGTTATATTGCAGCCATTTGCTAAAATCATTTAAGTTAATTTTTTTTCCTCATTAATGTACACACAGCACCCCATATTGACAGAAAAACACAGAATTGTTGACATTTTTGCAGATTTTATACAAATAAAGTTGCTTTAATTAGCAATTTACCAGTGATTGTTTATTTGGTGAAAAAACATGTAACAGCTTTAAATTCTGACCTTCAAGAAATTACATTATTGGTTTGCTACAGCATGACAAGTAGTAATCACAAGTAAATAATGTTTTATCCATTTTTACAAATGTTGTAGCACTGAACATATTTTTTAATCTCAGCCTTCAGCCCTGTTATTGAGCCTATGAAACAATGATCTACAGTATACCTGAGCTTAATTTTATGCCAAACTGTAAAACCTTGTTGCTCATTCTGGAATTTTTGATGAATAGGAAAAAAATGCTCATCTAATGTTTAATTTTACATTTAGGATAAATGTCAAAAATGGGGGGAAAAACACACACATTTTGAACGTATTGAATGGGCCAAAGCTCAGCAAACACTTGACAACTATTTACATATCAGTGTTTATCAAACGTCCACAGTGTAAGGTCCAGTAAATGACGTCCAACTTTTACGGGAAAGAAAAAAACTTATTTATTCAGTGTAAGATGAGGAGGATCATCTAGGTCATACGAGACAACAACATTTTTAGTTTTTCATTTTTAAGTATCAAGTCTTTATCTATCTCCGATTTTTCCACTGCAGTATTGCAATTGCAGTTACAGATATATTATGCAATTGCTGTGTTATTGCTGTTTTGTAAGCTTGTATATTATGAAACTTCTGTCATCTCACTCATTTCTGTAGTTTCTTTCTTTACAATGCTCTGTGGGACAGATTAATTTATCAAATACTGTTCTTCTTGAAATATAGAGTACACCATGCAGTGAAAAAAAAATCTATCAGGTGTAACCTCTACAGCACAGCAATTAAGACATAAATTATTTTGCAACTCACTTTTTGCTTCCTGTTAACTGTATGTTACATAAATGTGACTTTAGAAGTTTGACCTCTCAAATTTGTCTTTTGGTTTGTCAAATGCGAATTGCAGTAAATATTGTTGTACACAGAGAGGTCTGGGTTAAAAGCGATGACTTTTTGTTGATCCACAAGCAAGGAAAAGTTTCAGAGACAAAAACTAAAAAGTTAAATCTTAAGTGAACTCAAAACTAGGTTTTCTATACAACTCTTTAGCTTTGTATTTTAGTTGTTTGCATTAGGTTGTCAAAGTCAAGGCAATGCATTATTTTGTAATGTAATTTTTCTTTTCAATTTGATTTTATTGACTTGAATTTAAATGTTAGACATACTGTAATGCGCTTCTTAAAATTTAGAAATATACTCGAACTGCATGATACCAAAATACACTGATACAACCTCCTGTGTGTTCAGTTGACAAATGTAAACATCAGATAAATCTTTTTTTTTAATCAAAATATCATTGTGCATGTTCATGGAGTGGTCTGATGTAAAAGCATCCACCTTTTGACTTTAGTAAATGATTAACGTTTTGATCCCCCATCATACAAACAGAGACCAAAATCAGAAAACAAAAGCATTTGTGAGATGAGCTGAAAATGAGAGTTCCTGTACAAATCATTAGTTTTTCCTGTTTCCTGTTTACTGTTACCTTTGTGCAAATTAGTTTATTAATTTTATTAAGTAGAATACTATACTTATTATATGCACTTCCAACACTTTTAAGAAACCTTAAGTGGTTTCAGAAGGTGCTGTTCAATCTGTTTGATTTCTGCAGAGAAAAGATGTAGTCATCCAGGCGACACACCAAATGGTGATTTTAAACTTATAGAGGGGACAGAGTACGTTTTTGGAACAACAGTTGTGTATAATTGCAAGAAAGGGTAAATATGCTTATGCTTTTTTATCATATGAAATGTATACTTTCCTCTTTGAGTTAGACACTCTTGTACTTGTAAAAACATTGTGTTCACAGGTATGAAATGACAAGCAGAATCAATCACCGTACCTGCAGAGCTCAAGGATGGGACAACGCCGTCCCTGTCTGTGAGGGTACGATTTAATATCACCATCATAGAAAAGTGACTCATAAGCTAGAAGAGAACTATAACTAAAAAGATTTATAGATGTATTATTGAGTGATTGTTTTGTTGCTTTCTTTATTTGTTATAGGTATATAGGTATATAAACTCTTTGGGCCTCTTCGTTTAGGGGTCACACCTGGCTCCTTCGTGGTCAAAAGTGATCGAAGCCTTGAACTGTAACTTATTTTTTTCAGGAAAATCAATGTAATATATGTTTGTTTAATAATATTTTTTGATTACTATTTAGAATTTTAGGGGATTTTATGATACTGTGCAATATTTATAAAATTTGAATTAGCTATTTTTTTCCATTAAAATTAATATATTTGTATTTATTTAATTATTTATTTATTACTTTTCAATAAATGCAATATTTAATGTTAAAACCGAGTGAAACGTTTCAAATCCATTTTTTGAAGTGAGAATTGTGCCATCTGGTGGCATAAAAAAATTAAGACTTGTGTAATGTCATGTAAACTCCTGTATAGTTCCCTACATACATATATACAGAGGCCTTTGGATTCCCATTGTTTTTTAGACATAATTTATTCCTTTTATTAGGTTTTACTTTTAGATATATATTTAGACATTGTAATAGAGTACTTTTTGTCAATGTTTAGATATTTTTTGGTTAGATAAATATCAGGTTTTGCATTATGATTTCAATCAATCATTGAATATTCTAAAAATTTGATCTGTGCAGTCAGTTCATTTCTCTGTGTGTGTGTGAGAGAGAGAGAGAGCGAGAGAGAGAGAAGAGAGAGAGAGAGAGAGATAATCTTTTGTATTTTTTTTTTCATTTAATTTCATATATTCTAAAAAAAATTGCTCTGTTGCAGTCTTACCAGTTCATATCTATGTGTGTGTGTGTGTGTGTGTGTGCATGTTTATGTGGTTTATGAGGACATAAATTTGTATAATAACATGGGTATGACATAGGTATTACAACGAGAAGGTGATTTATGAGGACATTTTCAGTGTCCCCGTAATTCAAAAGGCTTATAAATAATTCAGAATTCGTTTTTTTGAAAATCTAAAAATGCAGAAAGTTTCCTGTGAGGGGTTGGTTTAGGGGTAGGGTTGGTGTAGGGCAATAGAAAATACGGTTTGTACAGTATAAAAACCATTACGCCTATGGAGAGTCCCCATAAACCATAAAAACAAACCTGTGTGTGTGCGTGGGTGTCTATTTTGCACTCTTGATATTTTAGAGAATCACCCCTTGATTGCTGTGTACTTTTGTTCTGCACATTGGATGATTTGTAGTTTGTACCACCAAAAAATTCTTGGAGTTTTCATATTTTTTCGTATTTCCCAATTATTTCCTATGTCGGTCATTTTTGACCTCGAAGGAGCCAAGTGTAACTTTTTTTTCTGTTGACCCTTTAACATATCCGAATCATGTCCATGATTTTTTTATGTGTGTTTACATAGCTAATGTGACAAAAGTCACCAAGTGTCATCTCATTCCGATGAAGCCACGATATTTAAAACTTCGGAAAAAAAAAAATGTTGTTTCAGTCAAAAATGACCAAAGAGGCTCAGAGGGTTAAAAAAAATAGATATTTGTTCGACCTTAGTTTAATTTTTATTTTAACTTCAAAGTGGAGCTTAATGTAGTCAACACACTAATATTTGTAAATGGAATGAGATTATTTACTTGTCGTCCTGTCATGCTGTAGAAAGGGTCCAATTGTCTTTTTTAGGCAACAGCACTCACATGCAAAATGTGTGATATGGCTAAACATTATTATTAGGCAACAACAAAATTAGCTACTGTAATAACTACTTACTTCAATGATTATATTATTCAAAACACTAAGAATGTTTTATCATTTCAGTTGTCCAGAAAGTGACTAACTTCACGGGAGAGCAATCCAAACATTCGAAATTAGCTACTTGTCATACTACCTTAATTTTCAGTTAATACACTACCTATTATATCATCGTCATGGACCAAAGGTAGTTCAAAACTGTTTACTAGCTAGAGCAAACTGTTCCAGAAAGTTTTCTTTAGCAAGCTGTTTCAAACTTTCGATTCAATTTTGCTTTAATAAGATTGCTTTAATCCAGAACTGTCTCTCCTGTCTCTGTACTCTATTAATTGGTGTTGTTTGTTTTCGGGGCAGTTGTGGCGTAATGGTTAGAGAGTTGGACTTGTAACCTGAAGGTTACAGGTTTGAGTCTCAGTACCAGCAGGGATTGTAGGTGGGGAGTGAATGAATAGCGCTCTCTTCCACTTTCAATATCCACGACAGAGGTGCCCTTTAGCAAGGCACCGAACCTCCAGTTGCGCTGCAGCAATGGCTGCTCACTGATCCGTGTGTGTGTGTGTGTGTGTGTGTGCAGATGGATGGAATAAATGCAGAGCACAATTTCTGAGTATGGGTTACCATCCTTGGTATCACGTCACTTTCACTTTCATTTTCAACACCATTCCAAATACAATAACCGGAAAAAAACTTTCTGTAGTTTCTTTCTTTACAATGCTCTGTGGGACAGATTAATTTATTAAATACTGTTCTTCTTGAAATATAGAGTACACCATGCAGTGAAAAAAAATCTATCAGGTGTAACCTCTACAGCACAGCAATTAAAACATCAATTATTTTGCAACTTACTTTTTGCTTCCTGTCTAACTGTATGTTACATAAATGTGACTTTAGAAGTTTGACCTCTCAAATTTGTCTTTTGGTTTGTCAAATGCGAACTGCAGTAAATACTGTTGTACACAGAGAGGTCTGGGTTAAAAGCGATGACTTTTTGTTGATCCACAAGCAAGGAAAAGTTTCAGAGACAAAGACTCTTAAGTGAACTCAAAACGAGGGTTTCTATACAAATCTTTAGCTTTGTATTTTAGTTGTTTTCATTAGGTTGTCAAAGTCAAGGCAATGAATTATTTTGTAATGTCATTTTTCTTTTTAATTTGATTTTATTGACTTGAATTTAAATGTTAGACATATTGTAATGCACTTCTTAAAATTTAGAAATATACTCGAACTGCATGATACCAAAATACACTGATATAACCTCCTGTGTGTTCAGTTGACAAATGTAAACGTCAGATAAATATTTTGTTTTAATCAAAATATCATTGTGCATGTTCATGGAGTGGTCTGATGTAAAAGCATCCACCTTTTGACTTTAGTAAATGATTAACGTTTTGATCCCCCATCATACAAACAGAGACCAAAATCAGAAAACAAAAGCATTTGTGAGATGAGCTGAAAATGAGAGTTCCTGTACAAATCATTTGTTTTTCCTGTTTCCTGTTTACTGTTACCTTTGTGCAAAGTCAAGATTAGTTTATTAATTTTATTAAGTAGAATACTATACTTATTATATGCACTTCCAACACTTTTAAGTGACCTTAAGTGGTTTCAGAAGGTGCTGTGCAGTGCATTTTTGTATGTGTGTTTGTTTGTTCTTCTCAGGATGTCTTCGAGAGGACATTAAATATGAAAACACAGAACCAGTTGAGAAAGCTTCATACGCTGATGGTGAAACAGTGAGAGTGAACTGCATAACAGGTTATACTGGCTTGTATAGATTAAACTGTGAAAAAGGAGAATGGAAAAAATCCATTGAGCGACCATGTGCAAGTAAGAGAATTGTCAATACGATGACGATATAATTTTTTCATTAACAAATCAGTGTTACCATGTTAAGTTCAATTTGTTTGATTTCTGCAGAGAGAAGATGTAGTCATCCGGGCGACACACCAAATGGTGATTTTAAACTTATAGAGGGGACAGAGTACGTTTTTGGAACAACAGTTGTGTATAATTGCAAGAAAGGGTAAATATGCTTATGCTTTTTTATCATATGAAATGTATACTTTCCTCTTTGAGTTAGACACTCTTGTACTTGTAAAAACATTGTGTTCACAGGTATGAAATGGCAAGCAGAATCAATCACCGTACCTGCAGAGCTCAAGGATGGGACAACGCCGTCCCTGTCTGTGAGGGTACGATTTAATATCTCATCATAGAATAGTGACTCATAAGCTAGAAGAGAACTATAACTAAAAAGATTTATAGATGTATTATTGAGTGATTGTTTTGTTGCTTTCTTTATTTGTTATAGGTATATAGGTATATAAACTCTTTGGGCCTCTTCGTTTAGGGGTCACACCTGGCTCCTTCGTGGTCAAAAGTGATCGAAGCCTTGAACTGTAACTTATTTTTTTCAGGAAAATCAATGTAATATATGTTTGTTTAATAATATTTTTTGATTACTATTTAGAATTTTAGGGGATTTTATGATACTGTGCAATATTTATAAAATTTGAATTAGCTATTTTTTTCCATTAAAATTAATATATTTGTATTTATTTAATTATTTATTTATTACTTTTCAATAAATGCAATATTTAATGTTAAAACCGAGTGAAACGTTTCAAATCCATTTTTTGAAGTGAGAATTGTGCCATCTGGTGGCATAAAAAAATTAAGACTTGTGTAATGTCATGTAAACTCCTGTATAGTTCCCTACATACATATATACAGAGGCCTTTGGATTCCCATTGTTTTTTAGACATAATTTCTTCCTTTTATTAGGTTTTACTTTTAGATATATATATTTAGACATTCTAATAGAGTACTTCTTGTCAAGGTTTAGATATTTTTTGGTTAGATAAATATCAGGTTTTGCATTATGATTTCAATCAATCATTGAATATTCTCAAAATTTGCTCTGTGTGTGTGTGTGTGTGTGTGTGTGTGTGCGTGGGTGTCTATTTTGCACTCTTGATATTTTAGAGAATCACCCCTTGATTGCTGTGTACTTTTGTTCTGCACAGTGGCTGATTAGTAGTTTGTACCAGCAAAAGATTCTTGGAGTCTTCATATTTTTTCCCAATTATTTCCTATATCGGTCATTTTTTACCTCGAAGGAGCCAAGTGTGACTTTTTTTCTATTGACCCTTTAACATATCCGAATCATTTTGTGTGTGTTTACATAGCTAATGTGACAAAAGTCACCAAGTGTCATCTCATTCCGATGAAGCCACGATATTTAAAAATTCGAAATAAATTTGTTTCAGTCAAAAATGACCAAAGAGGCCCAGAGGGTTAACAAAATAGATATTTGTTCAACCTTAGTTTAATTTTTATTTTAACTTCAAAGTGGAGCTTAATGTAGTCAACACACTAATATTTGTAAATGGAATGAGATTATTTACTTGTCGTCCTGTCATTGTTACGGGGCTGACGAGACGTGAGATGTGCGGATCCATATGCAAGCTTTATTTTGGAAAAGACAGAGACGTGGTCATGAAACAGGCATGGGTCAGATAAAGGCAGACAGGTATATGGCGGGCAAAACACAAGAATAGTCCTAGGGCTAGCGTGGGCCGATGAACTGCAGACAGAATCAGAAGGGGCAAGACTAAGGGAGAAATCCAGGAAACCAGGCAAAGATCAGAAACCGAGAAAACAGCTAAGGCTAAGGCTAAGGCTGGGAAACGACTGAGGGCTCTGCAGGGTAGCTATCCAAAGATATGTGCTAAACAATACTCGGCAGAGGGAAGGGATCAGAGTGAGAGTTCATGGAGTGGTCTGATGTAAAAGCATCCACCTTTTGACTTTAGTAAATGATCAACAACCCCCATCATACAAACAGAGACCAAAATCAGAAAACAAAAGCATTTGTGAGATGAGCTGAAAATGAGAGTTCCTGTACAAATCATTAGTTTTTCCTGTTTCCTGTTACCTTTGTGCAAAGTCAAGGTTAGTTTATTAATTTTATTAAGTAGAATACTATACTTATTATATGCACTTCCAACACTTTTAAGAAACCTTAAGTGGTTTCAGAAGGTGCTGTGCAGTACATTTTTGTATGTGTGTTTGTTTGTTCGTTCTTCTCAGGATGTCTTCGAGAGGACATTAAATATGAAAACACAGAACCAGTTGAGAAAGCTTCATACGCTGATGGTGAAACAGTGAGAGTGAACTGCATAACAGGTTATACTGGCTTGTATAGATTAAAGTGTGAAAAAGGAGAATGGAAAAAATCCATTGAGCGACCATGTGCAAGTAAGAGAATTGTCAACATGATGACGAAATCAGTTTTTCATTAACAAATCAGTGTTACCATGTTAAGTTCAATCTGTTTGATTTCTGCAGAGAGAAGATGTAGTCATCCAGGCGACACACCAAATGGTGATTTTAAACTTATAGAGGGGACAGAGTACGTTTTTGGAACAACAGTTGTGTATAATTGCAAGAAAGGGTAAATATGCTTATGCTTTTTTTATCATATGAAATGTATACTTTCCTCTTTGAGTTTGACACTCTTGTACTTGTAAAAACATTGTGTTCACAGGTATGAAATGGCAAGCAGAATCAATCACCGTACCTGCAGAGCTCAAGGATGGGACAACGTCGTTCCTGTCTGTGAGGGTACGATTTAATATCTCATCATAGAATAGTGACTCATAAGCTAGAAGAGAACTATAACTAAAAATATTTATAGATGTATTATTGAGTGATTGTTTTGTTGGTTTCTTTATTTGTTATAGGTATATAGGTATATTAACTCTTTGGGCCTCTTCGTTTAGGGGTCACACCTGGCTCCTTCGCGGTCAAAAGTGATCGAAGCCTTGAACTGTAACTTACTTTTTTCAGGAAAATTAATGTAATATATGTTTGTTTAATAATATTTTTTGATTATTATTTAGAATTTTAGGGGATTTTATGATACTGTGCAATATTTATACAATTTTAATTAGCTATTTTTTCCATTAAAATTTATATATTTTTATTTATTTAATTATTTATTTATGATTTTTCAATAAATGCAATATTTAATGTTAAAACAGAGTGAAACATTTCAAAACCATTTTTTGAAGTGAGAATTGTGCCATCTGGTGGCATAAAAAAATTAAGACTTGTGTAATGTCATG